CTCTTTTAGGACAAATGCCTTTTCTATATCATTACTAAATTTTATTAGCGCATCCATTGTTGATCTCCCCTTTCTAAAACCACACTGATATTGACTAATCATATTATTATGTTCTAGATAAAATGATAATCTATATACTATAATTTTTTCCATCAGTTTACCCAGATTGGATATTAAAGCTATTGGTCTATAACTTTTAGGGTTTGTAGGATCTTTTCCAGGTTTTACTATTGGAAGTACTAGTGCACTTTTCCAGTTTTTTGGTACTTTCCATATTCTATTAAATAATTTAAGTACGTTTTCACGTGTTTCTATTGGAATGTGTTTGAACATGATATAACATATTTGGTCTTCTCCCGGTGCTGTATTTTTTTTACATTCATTAATTGCTCTATTTAGTTCATTTATGTCGAACTCAACATCTAGTGTGTTTTCCATTGGTTTCTTTGGTGTATTAATATCTGGATACTTCTCTAAAATGTCTTGTCTTTTTTTATAATATTCCCCATCCATGTTCAAAGTGTATACTTCAGAAAATGTTTTAGCAATTAAATTGGCTTTATCCTTTTCTTTTATAGATTCACAACAACTTTCTACCATCATTGGGATGTTTGCATATTTCCCCTTACCACCCATTCTTTTTAATGTTCCACACTTCACTTAAACTAGTCTCTTGTCCAATCATAGCGCAATATTTCCTTCAGTATTCTCTTTTTGCTGTTTTAATTTTTCTCCTACAACTTGCTTTTAATCTCTGGTATTCCAGTACATTTTTTAAATTAAGCCTTTTCTTTAATGTTTTGAATGCTTGATTTCTTATTTTAATTGCCTTAGTACATTCTTCAGACCACCAAGGTACTATTTTTCCTTTCTTTCTGCCAGTGCTCCTTTGGATAAAATTTTTTGCAGCATTATTTATTTCTGCTACTAGACTCTCCGCGTGTTTATCTATATCCAAGCTTTCGTTGTTAATAGTATTATTTGTACAACATAATGATTTAAATAATTCCCAGTTTGCTTTATCAAAACACCATTTTTCACCATTTATTTGCTTGTATTGTCTTATTCTAACAATGACACTTAATGACAGATGTGTCTTGGTAGTAAAAAGTTACTTTCAAAGATAGATTTGAAGACTACAGTAAGATTTAACTTCTGCTGTTAATAAGATTTTGGTAGGCTACTATTAGATGGATAGCCTAAATGTCCTCATTCAGATGGGCTACCTGTTTTTTTTTTTTTTAATGGTATATCAAAAAGTGTATATTTTTTAAATGTGATTGTTGGTACATTTTACCAGTTTTTACCATACTTTCAAAACAAAAATTAAAATAGGAAAAATATGCAATATGAAAATAATTGAAGACAAAATGTGTTTTACTGAGAAAAAACAAGATTTGGTTTCTAAAAAGCCTTTTTCCAAAAGGTACATCTGGAAAAAGGGGGGTCGTCTTATAATCAGGGTCGTCTTATATTCGGGCCAATACGGTATATTCCATTCACATCTATTCGCCAGTGAGGCAGACACTAGTGTCAGATCTAGGTTTGACATCTTTCCAGTTTTTATATCTATTCTTGTGCCATTTCCATCATTCAAACATATTAATGTGCGCTCTTCCATAAATTCTTCTACTATTTCACCATGTCAGTGTTTTCACTACCCCATAATGTGTTGTGCGCGTTAAAATCTCCACACCATATTTCTGGTCCATTAAATAAATAAATTTCCTCCAAAATATTCATCATTATAGGTTTACATGGATTATATATATTGCAAATTGTTAAGACTTCCTTCTTCCCTATATATTTCCACAGCGATACATTCCAATTCTTTAGGCATACTTTGTTCTCTATATGTTAAATTCTGTTTAATAAATGTAATCACACCACCTCCTCTACCATTTTCCCTATCTTTTCTAATAACATTATATCCTTAACCCTAAAAAAATCGTATTTTGGTTGTAACCATGTTTCTTGTAGACATATTATATCTGGTTTATTAATTTCATCACTTATGTACTTCTTCAATTTTTGTCCATTAGCATAAATACTCCTGATGTTCCATTGTAAGATGCTTATTGGCATAATTTATCCATTCTGAGATGTTTCTTCATTTCTGGACTGCATTAGTAGTTTATGAATGCTTTCCTCTGACACATCCTTAATGTTTAAAAATTCTGCTGCTGACTCTACTATAGTCTTTAATTTGTCAGATCGTTTCTTTTGGTTACCAGTAATATTGATCATCTTCACCATAAATGCCAGGAATTTTTCCTTTTCCACTAACATTATCTTGTCTGACACTACACATTCATGTGAACATTTTGTTGGTTCTTTGATGTTTTCTTTTACTGCACCTGTATATAGTTTTCTTGGTATTTCTTCTGCTATGTTACTCTCTAACTCTCATGTCTCGCGTTGCCAGTAGTCATGTCTCAGTAGGGCTACAATTGCCATCTAGCGGTTGGAAATTGTAATTGCATTTTTATTTATAAAATGAAAGACAGCCGAATATCAATATCATATAATGTGTATGAATGTAACATTTAACAGCTTGTGGGATGCATG